TGTGTCTGTTATCTTTTAAATTTCTACATTCTCTCTAAATTGTTTAGTTATGGTTCATCAATACTGATACTGTTTATTATCATATTAAAATATTTTATAATTTCTTTTTATTACTTAACACATAAAACAGCTTTAAAACATTTTAAAAAGTTATTACTTAACACATTTACTGCTAAGGTATATGTTATTAACATTCAGGTATTTAGGATTTTTCTAAATGTCTTTTCTTAGTTATTATTTATATTTTATATCATTATCATATCTTGCATTCTCAATTTAGCCCATTGTTGTCAGAGTACATTATTTATATTTTAATCATTTTACATTTATTGAGCGATAGCACAGTGGGTAGGGCGTTTGCCTTGCATGCGGCCAACCAGGTCAACCCGAGTTTGATTCCTTCGCCCCTCTCGGAGAGCCCACACAGCAAAGCCTGGCAAGCTACCCATGATGTATTTGATATGCCAAACACAATAAAAGTCTCACAATGTTACTGGGCCCACTCGAGCAAATCAATGAACAACGGGAGGACAGTGACAGTGACAGTGACATATTTATTAACACTTATTTGATGATCCTTAAATATAAATTGAGTCTTATTTTAGACCTAATTTGATCTGAAGAAGAATGTGTGCCATGCATACATGGTTAATTCTACACAGTGAATCAAGTGAAGTTGGTAAGTAGTGTTGCAACATTATCAATTTTCAACTGAAATACTCTCAATGATTCACTATTAAGACTCCTCAATAGACAACTTTGCAATTTTATTGTCACATTTCATTGCTAGAAGAACTAAGTGCATCTTGTGTGATTGCACTAGAGAGAATCCTTGGAATCTTTCATTTGCATTACCCTCGACTTTGTCCCTGTGTATCTTTCTTATTTGATTTTGCTTTATTTTTTAACTGTAATAAATCTCTGCAAATATCAGCTTTGGGGGCCTAGGAATATAGTTCAGCAGTAGATCACATGCTGTGTGAGGCTTTGAGTTTGTACCCTGACACTGCAACACAAAGTCAAACAAATCAGAATTACCTTTGGTTTCATTAATTTTCAGTTGTTAGTGGTTTTAATTGTATTGACTTATGCTCTACAAATAAAAATATTTCTTTTTATCCCTGCTGCTTTCTCTGGATATAATTCTCTCTTGTTTTCCTAATTTCTTGAAAGTAGACACTTAGATGATTAATTTTACATATTTTTCTTAATACATGTATTCAATGTGATAAATTTCCTTTGAAATTTTGCCTTTGCTCATTTGCACATATTTTGATAAATTGTTTTTTTTCACTGAAGAGTTAGAAATTTTTCTTGAGACTTCTTGACACAAATGTTATTAAGAAGTATGCTTTCTCCCCAAGAATTCTGATATGTTTCCAACATTTTTGTTTTGATCTGTAGTTTATTTCTATTGTAGTTTGAGGCATGCTTCATGTGATTTCTATTCCTTTGAATTTGTTGAATATATCATTAAGAATGTGATTTATCCTGGTGAGTGTTTCTTGTGAGCTTGAAAAGGATGTATATTCTATTATTGTTGGAGGAGTTATTCTATAAATGTTAATTACATATGATTGACAGTGTTCTTCAGTTCTGTTTGATCCTAACAAGTTTTCTATCTGCTGAATTCATCAATCTCTACCAGAGGAGTGTTGAAGTCTTCAAATATAATAGTGATGATCTATTTCTCCTTGAAGTTCTATTAATTTGTAACCTAGGCACTTTAAAACTGTTATTAGGTACATTAAGTATTATTATGTCTTTTTAGAGAATTTACTCCTTAATCATTATGTCGTTTAAGTCTAACATTTTTCCTGATATTTTTTCTGACTTGTGTAATTTGCTAATCTGACCTACTTTTCATCAGTGCTAGTTTATTGTGTTCTTTCTTTCTAGTTTTAATCTATCTGTGCTTTACTTTCAAAGTGGTTTCTTTCTGAAATTTTGGTTTATACGACTAAATGTATATTTATATTTAAAAATACTTATGATTCCTCTTCATTTTTGTTTAGTAGTTATTGCAATGGCTAAATGGTAACATGATTGTGTTGGTACCCTTTAGTTTATGACACTTGCATCCACTTGACTGTGGCATGCTAAAGATATCATGCTTTCACTGTGGTGCAGGAGATCCCGAATGGCAGTGCTGCCACAATCCTGACAGATGCATGGGGCAGTACTGGAGACAGAACTTGCAGCCTCTCACTCACAAGGCTCTGCCATTGAGATATTCCTAGACCCCAATAACAAGCTGTGAAATAAAATTGAACCTCTTTTGCCTTTTAATTGTATTTAAACTATTCAAATTCAAAATTATACTTGATGTACATAGATTCATCTGTACCTTACTTGTAAATATTTTTGTTGACTACCCTTGTTATTTGTTTTCAATTTTTCATTACTTGACAGTCTTCTGCTCTTTTTTTTTTTTTTTTGCTTTTTTTTCCTTACATCTGTCAATGCTAACGCATTACTCCTGGTTCTGGTTCTGCACTCAGGAATTACTGCTGGTGGTGCTCAAGGGACCATATAGGATGCTAGGGATGGAACCTGGCTTGACAGCGTGCAAACCAAACACCCTATACACTAAACTATCACTCGAAGCCCCTCTCTCTTTAATTAAGTTTGTTAAATGCCTTAATTTTTTTCCTTTATTTTTTAAAAATTTTTATTAGTGAGACACCATGAGGTACAGTTGTATACTTACAACTTTTTGTGCTTGGGTTTCAATTATACAATGATCAAATACCCATTCCTCTACCAGTGCCCATTTCCCACCACCACGAATCCCAGTATCCCTCCCACCCCCCATGCCCCCCATCCCACCCTGCCTCTGTGGCATGGCATTCCCTTTTTTTCTCTCTCTCCTTTTGGGTGTTGTGGTTTGCAAAAGAGGCAATGGGTGGCAATCATGTTTGGTCTATAGTCTACTTTCAGCATGCTTCTCCCATCCTGGGAGGATCTTCCCAACACCCTTTATTTGGTGCTCCCTTCTCTATCTTGACCTGTGAATTATGTTTCCTGTTAAAATGGCTTTAGTGAATGCTTATTTTAATATACAGTTTCGGCAATATAAATTTATTTTCATAAACCTATACCACTTCATGAGTAGTTTAGAAACTCTGAAGCATAGCATTTTCAGTTTTTTACTCCTATTTCTTATAATACTGCTGTCATTTTGCTTAACACTAAGCTATAATTACATGGTCATTGTTGCTATCATTATTTTGATTTAACTGTTATCTATAAAGTCAGTTAAGAATATGAAAATGAGATCATTGTATTTTTAATTATTCCTATGGTTACATATTTTTATGTTTATATAGATTAGTTTCATTCCATTGTTTTATTTCTTTTTTATGACCTTCTGTCATTTTTAGTAAGGTAGATACACATGCAACAGATTTCTTCAAATTTTATATACATAGAAATATCTCAATTTATTTTTATTTTTTGAAGGATCATCTTACTGGATATAGAATTTTTAGATTGATGATCTTGTACTTGGAGGCATTAGTGTAATTCACTCCACTCTCTTCATGTTTGCAATGGTTTCTGAAGGAAATCTTGTGTAAGCCTATGTTTTTCCCTCTGTAGTTAGTTTTTTTCTCGTCTTTCTTTCCTAATTTTCTTTCAATATTTTATCTTTGTTTTTACTTTTTCCAGGTGCAGTTAATATTATTTCTAGTATACATATACATAAATGTATATATTCTGACCTTTTGAAATTTATGGGGGGTTTTTTGGTCAAATTACTCAACTATTATTAAAGTATTTGTCTCCCTTCTTCTTATATTCCCATTATACACATATTAAACCATTCATGACTATCTGATAATTTCTGGGACAATCCAAAATCCTTCCAAACTGAAAGACAAAGAGAGAGAGAAAAGTTTTTCATTTATTTTCTCTTTTCTATTAAGTTTGCAAAATTTTTAATTTGCGTACTGTAGGACTCACTTGATTATTTTTTTGACCACTTCTACTCAACTGACGGCTCATCAAAGACATTATTTATATCTGTTACAGTGTTTTGGATTTCTAGAATTTACTCTTCTTTTCTAAATCATTCATTTTTCTGGTCTGTTTACTATGTTTCCATTGGTGGTCATTTAGTATATAAGAGTTCGGCTATGGAAATAGACTGCTTTTGTTTGAATTCTGACTCTGTTTATCTACTGATTGATCATTGATAAGGTACATACATTCTTCATACCTCATAACACTTCTACAAAGGATTGTTAGGCGAAGCAAATGGGTTCCCGTGAAAGTCACTCAACACAGTTTTTGGCATAAAATATTCTATCTATGCTTGATAATGATGATGAACATGATCATGATGAAGACGATGATGATAATGACCACCTTGTCACTTATCAAACTAGCTAGGACTCTGCCATCTGAGAGCTTAGGTCCTTACTACTCCTTCTTCTGATGCTTCCCATCAGATGTCCATACTACTACTGACCATTTTAATAATTTGCTGGTGAATATCAGTCTGAGTGATGTCCAAGTGCCAACAAACATGTACAACTTCCTTTATTCAGTCTCTTTGTCATTATTATGTAGACCTTTCTCAGTACCACATGTAAAAATATTTCCTTTTTGTTGTTTCCTTTTACCATGATTTATTATTTTTCCACTGAAAACATGATTCTCTGATATATTGTCTTTACTTAATATTTCTTTGTTGATTTCTAGTCTTCTTCAACTTGAATTTAAAAATTTTTAAAGCTGTTTTATGTATATATTTTCATTAAATGCAAGTTTTAGCACCTTAAATTGCTATTTTCCAAGACTATTTAATGGCATTGGTAAATATTTAGATAGTGTTATCACACCTGTGCAAAAGCAGCCAGAAATGACAAGAAAATATGGAAGGGATTAGGTGCCCAGATCCATAGGTGTAGGAGATCTGCAGATGGTCAGGTCTGTCTGAGTTCACAGTTCTTGTCTTTAAGCCACAGGTAATATAAAATATTTTTTTTATCTTTCAGTACGAATACTTCAATGCTGTGCTGATAAATGAAAGGGACAAAGATGGGAACTTTTTGGAGCTGGGGAAAGAATTCATCTTAGCTCCGAATGACCATTTTAATAATTTGCCGGTGAATATCAGTCTGAGTGATGTCCAAGTGCCAACAAACATGTACAACAAAGGTAAGACCCAATGCATCCATTCCTTTAAGAAGGTGGTGAGGTGGGGTTTTCTGGGCTAGGGGCACTTATTTGAGACATTGTGTGTTTTGGAAAAACTCAGCTGGATGTGTCAACTGAGCTGGAAGGACAAAGTGTGCCTGTTCTTTCTGGAAATTTGGGGCTTCCTGTTTTCTCAGTAGTGCTGGGGGACAGATGCTCATAATTCTAGTACAAGGATCAGCAAAGTAGAGAACCACACAATCTCTTTTTCAACTACTCAGCTTGAATATTCTGGCATAAAAACAATCAGAGAAAACACGAAAATCAGAAAATATGCCTGTGTTCCAATAATACAATTTTCTTGTATTGTGTATTTCTTTTTAAAAAGTTTACTTATTTTTGCTGTCTGTGTTTTCTAATTATAGTTAGGGTACTGTGTTCATAGTGTTGTTGACATTTATGATCTTCATGTACATAGTTACTTCACCTTACAACTACCAAACTGCTCAACACTCCTCACCCATGTTCCTGTGTCACATCCTGTCCACCTACTATCCCCTTGTGTTTTCAGTTCCATTAACATTTTTGGTTTTTCTCTTTGGGCCACAGCCAGCAGTGCCCAGGGCTCACTCCTGGGTCTGTGCTCAGGGATTAAGTCTGGCAGGCCTGGGGGACCATAGGTGGTGCCTAGGATTGAACCTGGGCTGGCTACATGCATGGCAAGTGCCCTGCCCACTCTACTATAGTCCAGCCTCTTACTAATAACACTTTTTTTTTTATTCTATAGAAGCTTATGCCTGGATTTGACCTAGTTTGTAGGCTCTGGTTTACCTGTGATGGAATCTTACTCATCCTCCATTCCTTGTTATGGTGTGGACAGGCAAGGGGTCTGCTGCATTGTGATAGAATCAGCTGTTAGCTTCTGTTTAAACTAAAAAGCAACATGGAATTCAACAGGGCTCTGTGTTTCCAGGCTTCTTTTGTCCCTATTCATAGAGTGTCTAGGAATCTTTTCTAAAATTTCTCTTATATGAGTTTGGAAGCCATTGAAGAACCAGGTACTGCTTTTGGGCACATCTCCTCATAACTCTAGAACTTAGTTTCTTCTTATCTTGGATGCAGTTGTTAGTTGCATTAACCTCCTGGTCTAGTTGTAAAAACTAAAGAAATGATGCTTGTAAAGGATATAAGTTACACCCTCACCATTACTGAGTATGATTTTGCCTACTTTGTTATAGCAGGGAGGTTCCTAAAGGAAGAACCCTTTTTCTAAAAACTATATGAAAAGGCCAGGTCCTTTTAAAAATAAAAACCTGTCCATTGTTTTCCATCCAATCATTGGGGCCAGCTTCAGCATCATGTATAAGAGTGCAATGTATAGGGAGGTTAGAGAGATTTTATAATGGGTAGAGGGTGCTTGCCTTGCACACAGCTGACCCATGATCAATTCTCACCACCCCACATGGTCTCCTTGAGCCCCATCCAGGAGTGACACCTGAACACAGGGCCAGGAGTAAGCTCTGATCACCACTGAATATGGTCCCTAGAACTGAATTTTAAAAAATGCAGCAGTCCAGAGAAAGGTCAGTGTTTGAAACCTATTCCCTTCCCCAGTTGCTGCCTCTGTGATTTTAGCAAACAACGTTCACTCTTGGGTTCTTAGTTTCACTGTTTATAAAATAGGATGTCTCCTCTCTCAGAGGCTTGTTTTCAGGAGATGAAATGTTGCAGCCTTGACAAGAGTCACTCATAGAAAGTGTTACTGTGTCTTAGCTTATTGTGTCTTAGCTCTTATCAAAATTATTGGGAAGTAAGTAACACTTAAAATTGACCTGGTTTCTGTTTAAAGGGTTTGGTCAGTGATTAAAGAACTTTCTATTTACTCTATTTACTTGTGTGCTTCACATCGCTCTTGCTTCATTTTCTTGTTAACCCTACTTAATACTCTATGAAGGCAGTACACATTCTATTATTATTTTGACTATTGTTGGAAGCCAGTGGTGAACTGAATTTACCCTATTACTAAAACTGAATTTACGCTCATTTGTTTGCCCCCTTTGGGAGGCATTCAGGTAAGATCTGAAAACATTGTATGCCACATGCTGAGCAGTTATGGGGCCTGGGGAGTGGGAGCAATAAGGAGGGTTCCTGACCACCTCCACTGATGAATGGACAGAAGCTAATCTTGTCCCCCCCCCCCAAGGAAGGTAATGTCAGCCGGAACCACCCTTCGAGGATCTGCACTAGCCTGTATTCTATGGGCCTAATCGTCACTTTCTCCTCTGAAGGGTTGAAGAGAACCCACACTCAGAAGGATGAACTCGGCTTCATCCAGAGCTTTCAGTTTTCCAGAACCCTCTGTCCCTGAAGAAGGAGCCCCCTTGTGTGCAATGTGACTGTAAGAAAGCCATCCTCTTGGCACTGAGTAACTTCTCAACTAGAGATGAAAAATGCCCCAGATTTTACAGAGCAATTTCAGACAGCAATTGAGAATGATCTTTTAGAATAAGGCAGCTGCTTCAAGGTTGCTTGAGTCATTAGTATAGTAATGGAGATTTAATTACACCTTGGGCTTTAAAGGCATAATTGTACCTTTTGATGGTGAAACACACATAGCCCCAGCACCCACTACTGATAACTCAGGCTGCAGGATGGTGGCTGTGGCACTCTGGGCAACATCCTAGCACAGTCAGCATGCATGAGGCACGGCAAAAATAATGATATTTACAGTCATCCTCAGAGACCATGATAATATCTGTCTCCCATCCTAGATGCAGCCTTTCCGAGCAAGGCCGTAGGGGCAGGAATCAAGGTCAGCCTGGCACTGAATCTTGTCATTGTCAGGCAGTGAATTGCTGCCCCAGGGAGAGGGGAAGGGTCTTCGGGAAAATTCCTGTCTTCATTCTACCTAATTCAAACCAGCCCTAAACCGTCTTTCTTTTCAAACTGCAGAAATGTATTTCATGTTTTGAGGGCCCTCCAGCTCAGATCTTAGTCCTTGATGACATGTTCTCAAAACACATGCTCAGAGCTTGGTCACAGGCTGTGATGGGCCTAGGTTAGAAATACCGCCCTCCTCAACACAGGAAACAGACACAGGGCAGTTTGGACCCGGTGGGTCCAGAGTGCAGTGGTTTGATTCTTGCTTCGGTCAGCTTGTCCCTGTGCTCATGGTCATAACTTCCCATCTGCAATTTAACTGGTGGGTGAAATCTGCCTGTTTTGTACAGTTCACATTCTGCCCCCTTGACTGGACCTTGACTGTTCAACAGGCTCAGCACTGACCTCTGGGTCTGAGTTGCTCCGTCTGCCCAGACACTGATGACAGCTTCAGAGCTGGAGACAGGTGGTCAAGCAAGAGTCACCGCCTCTACCTGGAGCTGTGAGCAGCCCCAGTTCATGGGCAGGACGCTGCTGTGGGACTTGTTACGGATCTGATGGTGAATTCAGATAAAGCTGAACTCTTTAAAAAAAACCTTTTTGTTTTATTTTTTAATTTTTCTTTTGGAACACACTAGACTGTGCTCAGGGTTTTCTCCTAGTGGTGAACAGGGGACCATGCAAAGCGAGTGCCCTCCTTACTGTACAATGTTTCTCACCCCAAAGCTAAATTCTAGCTACTTTTCCTCCCAATGCCTGCCTTTATCACCTTCTCCTTCTTTTCCTTCTTCTTCTCCTTCACATTCTCCTCCTCTTCCTTCTCCACATCTTCCTTTTCCTTTTCCTCCTCTTCACTTACTTCCGGCTCTGCGCTCAGGGCTCACTCTTGGCAGGCTCAGGGAAACATATGGGACGTTGCTGACTGAATGCAGGTCAACAGCATACAAAATCAATGCTCTACATGCTGTAGTATTATTCTGTCTCCTTAAACAGGAGCACAATAATTCCTTTGCTCTTTTGTTGTTTTGGAAGTACCACTGGTTTGCTCCAAGCAGCACTGCTTGCTCTAGAAGCTCTCTGTACAGGGGTTCCCTTCGTGTTTTTGGAGATCTTGGATGGCAAGGATGAGGTGGACTCATCCTGGTGACCCTCGTTCTTCCTAGAGCCCCAAAGCTCCACGATGCTCTTTATGAGAGGGTTTCCATGCATATAGTAGGAGGTGGGGAAGTGTGTGAACAGTCCCCCTATGTGCTTGCCGGCCACAGAGGTGGGCCCTGGTTGATTCTTGAAAGGACACTGAGTGAGTCACAGACTTTCCATGGAAACTAGCAAATTGTCTTGGAAAATAATGGAGCAGGAAGGAAGAAGGAAGAAGGAAATTTAGGGCTGCGGCCATATCCAGAGCCAGCCAGCCCTCCTCCCACTAGGGCCTGCCACCAGTACCTGTGGCACCAATCAAACGTCTGTGCCTCCTCTTCCTCATGCAGAAATTGGGTATGGTGAGTTCTTTGGAGGGGAACTGCATGAGGGGGCATAGCAAGGGTTACACAGAGGATGCTGGTACCGGGTGTTCAGCCCAGTCTACTGCTCGGGTGTCTCCCCCCTTGATAGCCTTAGCTATAACATGGAGTCATGGAGATATGTCCTGGTGATACTCACCCTGAGCACTGCAGGACTAATGCTGATGGGGTTGAGCAGCCAGGCTACCCCACTGACTTTGGCTCCTCTTCTGCTTCTGGAGGGAATGGAGGACTACATTGTGGATTTTGGCCTCTTAGGGAAGCTGAATGAAAGCCAGCCTATCCTGTTCTGATGACAGCCTTGTCCACATGTGTGATTCTCACAGGTAGTTCCAGTTAAAGCAGGAGCAGCCTGAACTGAGAGGCAGTAACTGTGGGCTGCAGGATCACAGCGGTAGGAGCAGGGTGCGAACGGGGCATTTTTCCTCACAGCGCCTGCTCTGGATGGCTTGCTGGGCAGCTAGTCTGTGGCTTTGCATTGCCTCTCGGAGGCATCCTCTGGAACGGGCAGTCACTGGTCTGCCACATATTTGTGTTTTAAAGTGCTGAAACTCAAGAACCGAAGTTACAGCAGAGTGTGGGGATTGAGCCCCTGCTCTTGTCTCACCCTCCTGTGGAAGA